CATGCCAGCCAAAATGCTCTCGCAGAGAGCTGTAACATAGAACAAGCTTTATATTATCATTTTTTTGTCAGAAACCGTTTTGCAAAGAGGAGATTGTGAGCGTGTGTATGGATAGATCTTGCAGCTTTGTGTCGTGTTTTGGACCTGTGGAAAGTGGATTTCGTAGGGAATCTCTCCCTCTCTCTCTCTCTGATTCTTTCCCCCCAAATGGCGTTTGGTTTTGAACATAAGGGCCAGGCATGCCATTTTGTAGTCGAAATGGTTGGCCACCCAATTGTATTGGGCAATTTTGTTGTATGGGCAGCCGGGTACTTCTTCAGCATTCCTAGATGTCATCAGTGCCGGAACGATCTCCTTGCCGCCAGATTGGTTCCTCGGCAAGACGGGAAGACACAAGCTCCGACTTTCAGTTGGCTGTTCAGGTGCTGAATGACGGATCAAATGCTTTATGGTAAAGTATATTAATATAGTATAGTCAAGTGTGATGCTCGCAGGAGAACAAGGACAAGCGTGGCTGGTTCCTTGAACAACAGGCATCTTGCATGCGTTTCAAGCAAAGGGAGAAACTGAACTTGAAGTTTTTTCTTTCAGTACCCTTGGATCACAGTCCTCATTGACCTGCAAACGAACCTCATGAACCCCCAGAAATCATTGGACCGGACTTGCAACCTTACTGCCCGCTGTAGGTGCAAATGGTGCAGTTGCGATCCAAGCAGCTGTGGCTCGGGCGTTGGAAGAGACAAGTTTTAAGCCAGACTTGTGGAACGACGTGGAACGACGAAGGCTGAAAGCTTTGGCTTTCTGAGGAACGAGCGTGCGGCGGACATCAACGAGCGCCTCCGAGCAGTGCAAGAAGCCCCCTCCCGCAGGCGAAAGCGTTGGAATGCACGCGAACCAATATTAGTTGATGATAATTAATGAGTCGATGAGTTGAATGAAGCATGAATGAAAACATCAGGAAACACGTCAGTTTAAGTCAAAACAAGGCCCCAATCGCCTTTGTGCGTGAACATCCCATGGTTCACGATTCTGTTCACCGTTTCATTTGCTTTCGCAATGTGTGAAGTGCACCCCACTCTGGAATCCTTTTTCTTGCTTTTCACACCCAACATGGTATACGGTGATTTCCACATGCAATTGGAAGTCTCACCGCTCATTGCGCCCAACCAAGTGATTTGCTCCCGGTTTTTGTGGGCTTGGACCTGGCATGGTAAGAATCGCCTGGATTTTACAGATGCAGTTTCCAATTCAGCTTTTGATTGGGTTTGGGTATGGTTGGTCTTTTTTTGGTTCTGTTTCGTTTGCTCCTCATCATTGGAACCTGTTTAGCGGGGCGCCTACCTAGTGGAGCATTTCTCCAAGTCTAACCTCATTGACACAGGTTGGGCCCCCGAAATCGCCAAGCTCCTGTGTCTCGGCGAGTGGATGAGTCATGAGGCACATGAACTGGGTATATACGTAGCGTTCTTGCTCCTAGTAGCGATGCCAGGGGCTACTAATAGCAGAATTGCACACAGGTAAGCACTGTAACCACAGTCCTGAGGACATTCTTGCACAGTCCTGGTCCAATGGCACTTATCTCCGAGGTAAGTGCTGCACATTCCCTCAACTTCCAGGAGCGGCAACGTGCGTCGTCACATGGGGGTAGCAGATGCCACCAGTGCAATCTGCACCTGTGAGACTTGCAGAAGACATTTTTAGGAGCCTTTGCAGAAGCTACGGTCTTCGGTCTTCAAGGAGTTGTGCGCCATCATCTCAGCTGTTTGCTACGAACAAAACGGTTAAACTGATTAAACAAAACATTCCTTCTGCGAATGAAACACCGGTCAACTCTACGAATGAAAGAATGCTGCAAACAGCAGATCCGAAAATGAAAAGAGAAACAACATTCTTTCAGGCTATGCCACGGCGCCGTACAAAACGAGGGGATCACCTGGCCTTAGACAGGCACTCGTTCACTTTGTTTCACGCTGAAAGCAGAGTGGAGTAGAGTTTAATATTTAAACAATGACAAGTTAAGTTTCCCTAAGAATCTAGGAACCAAATCATTAGTGCGAGCGTGAGCTATCCTGCGTCCTAAATATAGGAGCTTCCTATTGCTAGTAGCTAACTTAGCCCTTACTTCATTAAGTAAGGAGCGCCACGGGCTTTAAAAGAATCGATGAAAAGCAGAAAACACACCTGCATATTGGGTTTGGTGATGCCAGGGACGCATTGGAAAATGGTGAAGTGCGACCGCCTTCAGAGATCGACACCCCGACCTTTGGGAATCGAAGTGCTTTGGGCACTGTTCAGTCATCAGCATCAGGTGGGACTTGGACAGTGGGGGTGTCTTGATTTGATGTTTCGTGATCCTGACTCAATCTTGAAATTTGGGATTGACACACAGACACACACACTTGAGAAGGTTGCTCCGTGGAGCGCGATTTCAGGCTGCTT